AGTATGAAAATAAAATTCATATGCAGATAAGATCTCCTTCAATGCCTCTGGTTTCCTTAAGTAAAGAGTACTCCTTTCAGACAATAAGCACCATTAAATACAGATGAACAACCTGCAAACTAGTACACAATTGTTACAGTTACCATTTATTGAGTACTTAATATACACCAGGGCAATGTGCTAAACATTTTACATGCAATCTCAATTAATCCTTACTACTGCCTTATAAAACAGTGACTATAATCCTCATTTTACAGATGAAGACTCAACAGGTAAGTAACATGCCCAGGTCACACAGCTAAGTGGTCAAGCTTATACTGAACCTAAGACTGTTTTTAAATGCAGAGAACACCCTCTAATTCACTACACCATCTGGCCTCCTTCATAGTTAAGGTGGTACTTAACCCTTTAGTGGTACTTTGGGACACAGATCTTTCTCACTTGGTACTAATACAATACCTTCAGTCTTAAAAAATTATATTTATAGAGGATATAATCAGGATTTGTAGATATGAATGATAACACTAATTCAAGTTATATCCACGTAAAGTTTCTGAAGGTAACAACATTTGTTTAGAGTAAACCGTGTGATGATCATCAGTACTTTTCCCTTCACATAATTCTTACTTAATTCTCACAATTCTGCAGTCATTATGTCCATGGAAAAACTGAAGAAATTGAAGTTTAGAGAAATTCATTAATTTGGCCTGTGTTACAAAAATAGTAAATGGCAGAGCTGGAATCTGAACCCAGGCCTGACTCCAAAGAACATGATTTTCTCTAAGGCGGGTTATTAAAAGCATGTATGTATGTGGACTGATATACATACATATGTGAACTGATAAAACCAAAACAGGGCGCCTGGGTGGCTCAGCAGTTGAGCGTCTGCCTTCGGCTCAGGGCATGATCCCGGGGTCCTGGGATGGAGTCCCATATCGGGCTCCCCACCGAGAGCCTGCTTGTCCCTCTGCCTGTGTCTCTGCCTCTCTCAGTGTGTCTCATGAACAATTAAAACTTAAAAAAAAAAAAAAAAAAATCAAAGGAAAATGGAGGATAATTACACGAAATATTTAGGGTCAGGCCTTACTATCACTGCATGTAAAACTTAGCACTAAACTTCTTGTCAAGACTAATGATTACTACATGCATACCAAACACCGATGATTGTGGAGTAGTCCCTTTAAATATTAACTATGCCTAATACTCCTTTAACAATGGATTTTTCGAGATTAACATTAAATCTTCAACACAAGAAACACATCACCCTTAAGGTAAGGAATATATTTTAAAATGGGGTATGCTACTGCATCAAACTGCATGTTTTTCACTTAACAAAATCATGGATCCATTTCCAGGCCAATACACAGAGACCTACATGGTTACTAAACACACATTAAAGACAAATCATTGTTGCCCCCAAAATAAAGTGGCATGGTCTCCATATAGTTAGATACATCTCCAAATGAAATTAAACAGATATATAAATGACTGGATTTGAAATTGTGCATGTAGACGAGAAGGTTAAGGACCTTTCATACACTCTGCTTACAAGAGTCTGAATTGCCACATTTTTTGGGAAGTAAACAATATATTTTAAAATCTTAAAGATAATCCCAATCAATTGTGACCAGGAAGTAGCCTACAGATACAAGATCTTCACTCCATAAGGTTATAGGTCCAACTGCATCTAATGCAGTATTTATACAGCAAACAAAACAAAACCCAAAACCAAAAAAACTGGAAACAATCTATACTTCTATCAACAGGGAAATGACTAAAGTATCATGAAATAACATGCTTCTAGTTTAAAAACCATTCAGAGATGGAAAATAACTTTAAAAATATATCCATGATTTTTAAGTGAAAAAAAAAAAGTCGATAAAATTTTATGCAGTGGCATATCCCATTTTTAAACACACACACATGCACACTCTCCCTCAATCCTGCATACAGATAATATGGAAGGATACACACCAAATTGTGAAAAATGAGTATGTGGACTGAGCAAAAAAAAGGACAGGGAGAAATTAACTTCATATAACTCTATTAACAGTGTAAGCATGTGCTATATTCACTGGTGATACTCTCAAGTATCCAAAGTAGATAAAGAACTATTCTAATACAAAACAAACAAGAATCAAAAAAAAAAAAAAAACAAGCGGTGCCTGGGTGGCCCGTTCAGTTAAGTGGTCAACTCTGGACTTTGGCCCAGGTCATCATCTCAGGAGTCTGCCTGAAGATTTTCTCTCCCTCTGCCCCAGCCCTGCCCTGCCCTGCCCCTGCCCCAGCCCCAGCCCCAGCCCAGCCCACCCTACTCACACGCCTTCAATGTCTCTAGGATAAATATTCTCTAAAAATAAAACAACTCCCATTCATAATACTTCCAACATCACTCACACATTTACAACAATATGGGGAAATTCAAAATAATATGGGGAAAGTCAATCATATGATCGGCCTCAAAAAAAAAAAAACTCCGAAAATCGACAGCATCTTCTCTTTTTTTAATCCTTGGCTTTTACTGCGCTCACTCAGGCACTACGTCTGACTGACCGTCTCACAACCACTGCACAGCTGCTGGATCCTACTTCTTAGGACGAACGACGCTACGAGGCGATCCTTACAGGGCTCATTCAAGACGACACAGGACAAAACTAGCCACAGACTCCAGGTGATTCACATCCCGACCCTCATTACTGCCATTACTAAGCTTGGTTTGGGCTTTGTGACACCTAAGACACCTCGTTATGGACGCAGAACTGGACTGAGCGCCCCAAAGCACTGTGACCCCAGTACGGAGGTCCCTGTTGAGCATCTACGAGGCTCGGAGCCTGCGGGAGGCTCTGACCCGGCGGGAGCGAGCACGGGGAGCGTCGCGCCGCCTCCCGCCTCCCGCCTCCCGGGACCCGGGACCCGGCAGGGCACACAGGTCACACAGGTCGTGGTCGGGGAATCCGAAGGCGCGGTCCCGGCACTGACGCCACCTCAGGGCCACCTCGGAGAGGAGCCCACCCACTGCGACCTCCGCTTCAAAAAGCTCGCTCTTGGCAGGAGGGTCCACGTCACATCTCCGCACAAACTAACACCAGAAGGAGAGCCGGGGCTCCCCCGCGCCAGGAACACGGCAGTTCTGCCGTCATGGCCGCAGGCTGGGAAGAAGGTGCCCGAGCGCCGCCGCTGTGCACCGCCGGGCCCGCGCTACTTTACCGCCAGCACTAAAAGGACCAGAAACGGCAGAAGTTTCACTGGTGAAACGTGACGTCCGAAGGGAACGGGCCTCAAAACGACGTGGCGGGGGGGGGGGGGGCGACGCTCCCGGGACCCCACCTGCACACGCTGGAAGCTACGCCCTGAAGTTCCGAGGCGCAGCCCGTCCGCGCGCAGGCGTGTGGGCCGCAGCGAGACGCCCCGGGCTCCGGCGTCCTGCCTGGGCCGAGGCCGCCCCGCGGAACCCTCTGCTGCTGCCGTTACGTAAAGACGCTCGCGGCGGGACGGGCTCCGAGCCGGGTCGTCACACGCAGGGACTTTAAAGGCGTAGCCTGAACCTCAAGGAATTTGGGGCCGTTCGGCTTTAAAGGAGCCTCCCGCGGCCTCCCGCGACCGCCTTTCCTCCTCTGCAAGCAGCGTCTGACCTTACGCCCGCCCGGCAGGTGAGGCGGCGACGCGGGCGGCCGCGGGAGCTCGCTGCGGGGGGCGCGGGGGCCGCGGGGGCCGCGGGGCCGCGCGGCCCGGGTCCTCCCCGCGCCTCGGGGCAGGGCTCGCGGCGGCGGGCGCCGGGGGCGGCCCACACGGCCCGGACCACGGAGGCGCCGCCGCGGCCGTCCCGGGCGGACGGGGACGCGGACCTCGCAGCCCCCAGCCCGGGCCCGACCGGGCCAAGCGGAGTCGGCGCAGTCGGCAGCCAGGGCCACCGGCGACGGGCTCCCTGCTCCGCCGTCTCCCCTCCAGTCCCGGAAACGTTCAAAACCCACAACTTTTTGTCGCCTTCACGGCGGGCCGACGCCACCCGAGCTCGGCGCCGTCCGGGCCGCCCCGGCCCTCAGGGCCCTCGGCAGCCGCGGCCCTCCCGCCCGCCTCAGCTCCCGGCCCTCAGGCCCTCCGCCGCCCGGCCTCAGGCCTCGCAGCCGCGCCCTCCCGCCCGGCCCTCAGCCCCGGCCCTCAGGCCCTCCGCGCCCGCCTCAGGCCTCGGCAGCCGCGGCCCTCACCGCCCCGGCCCTCAGCCTCCCCGGCCCTCAGGGCCCTCCGCCGCCCCGGCCCTCCGCCGCGGCCCCGCCGACAAGGACACCGAGCCCCGCCGCGCCGGCGAGGCCGCCAGCTGCCGCCTTTGTGCCCGGGGCCCACGCGGGCCGGGGCCGGGGCTCCACGTCCGGGCTCGCGGGGGCGGCGGCGGCGGCCGCACACGCCCGGGTCCTCGCCCTCGCCCGCGCCCCCGCCCCCGCCCCCCGGCCAGCCTGCCCGCGGCGCCCCCCCCCGCCCCCGCCCCCGCCCCGCGCCAGGCGGCCGCGGCCCGACGGACGCTGCGGAAGGCCCGGCTCACCTGGGGGGTTGCTGGTGGCTGGGCAGCTTTCCGGGCGGGCGGGGGGCGTCAGGACGAGGAAGCGGGCGGGGCGGGCGGGCGGGCGGGCGGGGCCCCGGAGGCGGCGGGCTGGCCGACGAGGTGCAGGCGCGCGCGGCGGGCGGCGGCGACGGCTCCACGGCTCCCTCAGGATCTCCTCGGGCAGGTCCAAGATGGCGGCGCTCCCTGCACAGGGTTTCCTGTCACCCTCGCAATGGGCCGGACCACAAAAGAAGCGGGGGGAGGAGGCTGCGCGCGCAGCCGGCGGGGCCCGGAAGACGGCGGCCGGCCCGGCCCGCTGGCCACGCCCCTTCCCCGCCGCGGCCCTCGGGACTCGCCGCGCGGCCGCCGAGACCCGCCCCGCGGGCGGCGGCGCCGGGAGGGGCGGAGGGCGGCGCTTGTGCGCAGGCGCAGCGGCCGGCGCCCGCTTCCCAGGGGCGCTCCTGCGCAGGCGCGCGCGGCACCTGCTGGGGGCGGGCCGGGCTCGGCGCTCGGTGGACCCCGCGGCTCCCGGCGCCTCGGCCCCCGCCCGCCGGACACGCCCGCGCCGCGCGCCCCGCGCCGGGCACAGTCTGCTGCGCCCGCCCGCAGCGGGGCCCGAGGGCGCGACGTCCCCGCCCCGCAGCCGCAGGAGGCACTTGGCCCCATTGTACCGATGGCGAAACTGAGGCTCGCGTCGATCGAGCCGGGGGCCGAGGATCCAGCAGCCGGACGTGGCGCTTCCCGTTGTGGGTCGCCTCTGCCCTCTGAGGGGCCCTTGGGCGGGGGCTCCCAGCACCCCGGCGCCTCCGGCCTGTCACCCCCGGAAGGCGCCGCGCAGCCGGCGGCCCTCGGGGGCCCCCAACGGCCGCCTGTGCCTGCGGAGACGGTTACGTGGATCGCCTGTTTGTGTACTCCCGTGTTTACGTTGTGGGCGTTTTACAGCTGAATTGGCGTGGAGAGGGATGTTTTGATGTCACACCGCACGACACTTTCTTTGACCTGGAAGTTCATCTTTCCTTCCTGACCTCCACAGCACTGGAGACATTTCTGCGGGTCCCCCACAAAAGCCTCGTGGGCCCCAGGCTCGGTGCTTCCGGTGGCTCAGGTAAGCCGGCCCTGCCTCAGTTTACCCAAAGGAAGCTCAGGCTCTCTCTCGGCAGGAGGAGCTTTCAGAAGCTGGCTTTGCCTCGGCTACGTGACACTTCCTTGGAAAACCGTATGGCAGTTCACACCTCTCTCATTTTCAGGAAGACCCGGGTGCGAATCCCTGATCTTCCACTTACTGATGACCCACGGCTGGGCATGTCCCTTGATTTCCCAGATCCGCAGTCTTTTCTGCAAAATGAGGATGATGATACCTATCGCCCGTGGGTCCGTGTGAGCATTAAATGAGGTGATATACACAAAACGCTTGACATACGCGTTTTTAATACGTGGGAATGGCTACTACGTGATGATCCGATATAAGGTTATGTTGAAATCCCTTCTGGCCCTGGAGGTCTATGCTTCTATTCCTGTATTCTTTATTTTTATTTTTTTAAAGATTTTATTTATTTATTCATGAGAGACAGGTGCAGAGACACAGGCAGAGGGAGAAGCAGGCTCCATGCAGGGAGCCCGACGTGGGACTCGATCCCGGGTCTCCAGGATCACGCCCTGGGCTGAAGTCGGCGCTAAACCGCTGAGCCACCTGGGCTGCCCTTCCTGTATTCTTTAATTCCGATAAGCATACTTTGTGCTCACGATCCAACATCTCTGAAATCAAGAAATTTGCCAAGGTAAGAAGGAAGCTGTGAACCATTTGGCATCACTTGTCCGGCTGTGAGCTTAGGTCTGGCCAGAACGTTTCACTATATCCAATTGTCCCCTTGAGTTGCAGACCTTCGTGACGAGCTAACGCTCCTTGCACACTCAGTGTGAAAGAGGAACTGACCTAAGAATCACGTATATTTTCTTATTTAATCCCTACAACGTCCACGCACAGTCCGTACTATATTCACCCCATTTTATGAATGAGAAAACTGGGTGTCCTGTAAGTCAAAGACTTTGTAAAATACATAAAACTTGGCAGTGCTGGGAATTCAGGCACGTGTGACTCCGGAGCCCCCATCCCCAAAGCACCGTTGTATTCTTCATCCCTTATTTCCTCTTGTAGCAGCTTAAGCGTCAATCCCTGATTGTCGCTTCAGTCTATGCGAAGACACTGCACCGGATGCAGCATTGACAAGCGTTGCCGTGAATGCAGTGTGCCTAGTCCACACTCAGCAAGTGTTGAGGACTGTAGAAATGGTCGATGCTTGCAATAAGTCACAGAATTTTCAAAGGAGAAATTGTGTGTGACCAATTGCAACATAATTAGAACTGTCCATTGGATGCCCATCAGGGGTTCTAGTTAATTTTTTTTTTTTACGATTTTATTTATTTATTCATGAGAGACACACGGAGACGCAGAGACACAGGCAGAGGGAGAAGCAGGCTCCATGCAGGGAGCCCGACGGGACTCGATCCCGGGACCCCGGGGTCACGCCCTGGGCTGTAGGCGGCGCTAAACCGCTGAGCCACCCAGGGATCCCCTAGTTAATTTTTTTTTAAGGCTGCTGCTTATGTGAAAAGAGACGTATATAGACGAAATAGCGAGTGCAGCGCTGCTTGTAAAAGACTAGAGCCCAGCTCTCACCAAAGAGCTGTTGTAATACATTTTAACCTACCCACACCGTGGAGGGTGTGCAGCAATTAAAGACTGAAGCACACGTGTGTGTCCTGATATGGAACAGCCTCTAAGAAATACTTCAAGTGAAAAAAAAAAAAAAAAACAACGAGGGAGAAAAGCAAACAGTCTGCCAAGACTTGTTCAACTATGAAAGGGGCACGAATATGTATATGTGTGTAAATGGACATCGAGAGGGGTTTTTCCTGTTGTCCTGAAACTGCTGCTGAAGCCCAGCTCTGAAAACCGAAACGTCCATAAGGAGCCCACTGCCGGTGGTTGGAACTAGCTCTTTCCCAGGAGGACATTCGAGGAGCCATTGTTCGGGAAACCAGCCCTCCTGCCAACCCCTACCTCCACCCTGCTACTCCCCACCTCTTCTCCATTCTCACCCTCTCTCCCCACAGACAAACCATCACCCCTCATCAGTGGGAAAAATGGAGAGTTGAGAGGGAAGTCAGGTTTTAGGAAAGAACAATGCTCTGGAAAGAGGCTCATCCCTCCCTCTCCCTCCTTGGGGGGTGGTATCCCTTCCTAGGGGCGAGGGACGGGGGCTCCAAGGGATCACCAGTGGAGCTTGGGCGTGCCTATAGGAAGCGGAGGCTGGCAGCCCCCCCAGGTACCCATTTGGCCATTGGACTTACCAATATGCTCTGCCCCATTGTACCCTTGGCAAAGGAAAACACGAGAGCGAGACCACATTGCAGGGGCTTCGGATGGGGAGGGATCGAACCTGCCCAACCAACCCACTCACACCTGGACTCCTCAGTCCCAGATTGGAGGGCAGCAACGAGGTCGTCCTCCCGGGGTGAGGCATAGATGACACTGGCTGGGAGTCAGCTGGAAGAGAAACGTATGAGGGCTCAGCCGTTCCTGTGGAGATGAGTGGGGCACTCTGGGCACTGGTGCTTTGTCGTGTCTACTCGTTCTTGTTGCATCTCAACCTATTTATATTTTCATAATTTCTTTTGTAAAAATAGATGTTTTCCTATTCTTTTTTTCCAAAGGCTAAAAATCTGAAGATATTTTCAGATTTATCTATTGTGTTTATTTAAACCAAATTAGTTCATCTCCTTGTTGGTCTTAAAGGCTTAATATTATTGGTTAATTTTGCTCATTTATTTTAGGGTTTTTGTTCATAGTTATATCTCGGTTCCCCCCCCCCACACTTACCCTTTTTTGTCTAGTGGTTTTGGAGCTGCCACTTTACCATAGCCAGATATTAAAATATTGGTATTCCAACTCCTGGGTAATATTGAAGATACAGCAAAACCAACACAATTTATACTCTGAATTTTATTATTGTGTACGTGTGCTACCTAATTAGAGAACCTAATGTATTTTTTTAAGATCTTTAAAATTTATTTATTCATGAGAGACACACAGAAAGAGGCAGAGACACAGGCAGCGGGAGAAGCAGGCTCCCGGCAGGGAGCCCAATGTGGGACTTGATCCCAGGACCCGGGGCCACCCCTAGCTGGAGGCAAACGGTCAACCACTGAGCCACCCAGGGGCCCCAGAATTTAATGTATTTTTAAGTGTAGTTGGTTACTCTCTAGTGATACATAATTAAGTAAAAACAAGCAAATAATAAAAAAAAAACTACCACATCAATCAATAACAATTGATAAACTTCGAAATTTAGCAGATTGACAGAGAAGTAAAAATCGAGTACATAAGACTCTTTAGTTTCTGGATAGGAGAAAGGATTAGATGCAAATTCATAATACAAAAAAAGAAAATGATGCATAAATCTAAGGATAAGTATGTGTTCTACTCAATGGTATAGGAAATGTTGTGACCATTAAAATAGCTCCCCCTCCAACATGCCCATCCACCTTATACCAGTCGCCCCAAACTATGATCCTCGGACATCACAGCTTATTAGGGCGTGACTTCTAAAGTCAACAACAACAACGAAATTACATAAGGTGAAAAGTATGCTTAAAATTTCCCAGGAAAGGGATCCCTGGGTGGCGCAGCGGTTTGGCGCCTGCCTTTGGCCCAGGGTGCGATCCTGGAGACCCGGGATCGAGTCCCACGTCGGGCTCCCGGTGCATGGAGCCTGCTTCTCCCTCTGCCTGTGTCTCTGCCTCTCTCTCTCTCTCTCTCTCTCTCTCTCTCTCTGTGACTATCATAAATAAATAAAAAAAATTAAAAAAAAATTTCCCAGGAAAGCTCCGCACTAGAGACTGACTTAGCCTCTCTTAGTTTTCCTCTAGCGTCAGATCTGATAGCCATGGCTCTGGCTGACCACCTGAAGAGGCGGGTGGTTTAGAGCGGGAGGCCGGGTTACCGGAGAAAACCTGCATCTTTGAACTTCAGACTCACACTCTCTGTGGCTAAGTGACCATGCTGTGAGCTCTACTAAAAAATAGCAGATTTACCTCTTTTATCAGAGACAGACTGGTATTTTAAATTTTCTTTATTGCTTCGCTGACCTTTATGTTTCGTTGAAATAATGTAAGTTAAAAGCACGTGCGATGTGACACAAGGGTATCAGACTGGTGGTGACTGTCACCGTGGCTCGAATTTGGCAGGTGCTGTCAAGAACTGGGGTTTTACCCCAGTTGCAAGCTAAAAATGTGGCCTAACACGGTTTCCTTTTGTTGTTGTTGTTTTTTTAGTTTTTGTTTTTGCTTTGGGGCCTAACGCAGTTTCCTGGATGGAAGCAGAAGACATGAAACCCCTGGGTCAGAGACAAAGGACCGTATTGCCCACAACACTGCGTGCAGCCTGAACATCAGCACTTTTGCACCCGTCCTTGGCTGTGTGGACACACATTGTGTCACAGTAAAGGAACTCCGCGCTTAGGGAAACCAGATCCTTCATGGCGGAGAGTGAGCATTTCTGTCCTTTGCTCTGGAGGGAAACTGTATCATCGAGGGCTGTTTGCTAAACAAACATAGTTGAAAAGTCGAAAAAATAGTGTGGGGCAAACGACGGTCAGTGCCTGTAGTCACAGGCTGTGCGGAAGCACAACCGTGGAGGGTTGTCTTCCACGGGGACGAGACTTCATTGTGCACCTGGTGAGCGAGGGAGGCAGGGAGTCGAACACCTTCGATGAAAGACTGGTTTTGAGAGGCACCGAGACTTCAGCTCCATTTCTAGCAAACATTTTATTGGTTATGGGATCTTAGTCATAGTCCTTAACTTCTCTGGGCCTCAACTACCTAATGGAATAACAAGTATATCCCAACGCAATGGTTGTTTAGATTTTCTGAGGAAGTGTAACTGAAAGTATCAGGCTCAGGATCTGAAATATGGGAAGCATTCCACAAATGCCCGATCCTTCTAGCCTTCCTTCATCTCTGCCCCATAGACGTGAAGCAGGTGCCAGAGCATTGCGCCCGTCCCCCAAATCGGGAAGCGACTTCCTACCTGTGACACTAGACCAGGTTGGAGAAGCAGCTTTCAGGGCTGGTGGCTGAAGTGCACCCCTGACCGTGAACCCCAGAACAGGGCCACTAAGGGGAGCAGAGCCCCAGGGGCAGCTTCCTCCCAGTAGGAAGGAGAACAATGCCCAGGTGAGCACAAACTTACCAGGTGAGCAGTTCCTCATCTACCCAGGAATGGAGAAAGCAAGAGGGATGCTTACAACGAACCTTTCCCCGCCGAAAGTCCTGGTGGAGGAAGGAGGCCCCTGTACCATCCGCCGTGCGCACAGCGAGGCCCGGAAGCCGCGGGGAGCATCTCACAGCATCTCACAGCCGGCAGGTGCAGAAGGACCCGCGCCGAGACGTCGCGTGTCCTCGGATGAGTTCCGGAGAGTCTCTATCTAATTCCTCATTTCCCTGCCCCCAGAATGAGGAAATCGTGGTGCGGAGACCACGAGGCGAGCCGGTGGCGGGTGCACCCCCAGCCCCCCGAGGGCCGGTGCTACCTCCAGGGCCAGGACTAGCTCCCGCCGCTGCTCCACGTAACCTGGAAAGAAGGGAACAGCAGCAGCAGCAGCACAACTGTCCCTGCTGGCAGGGCGCTCAGCCGAGGGAAGGGTTTCTGCCCATAATAAGGACAACCGGGGGAGAGGAAGGAGGGGAGGACGGGAAGCGGGCTCTGCAGGCTCCCCGGCCAGAGGGAACTGGGTCCTGGGCAGCCTGGCTGGCCTTCCCTCTAGCGTACCCGCTGCGCCACCCCACACACGTCTGGGGACATAGGCGGAGACGGGAGGAAGCCCACCTGTATTTAAGGCCCCTTGGCGTACTCTGAGGTCCCAGCAGCTGGGCTCCACCCCTGCCAGCCCCCTCCTCACGTGCAGCCGGTGATTTGGGGCCTTTGTGGGCGCCCTGTGTGTCGGACCTCCAAGTCTGCAGATGAGGGAGTGGGAGGCTCCGAAGTTCTGCGTCCCCCACTGAGAGCCATGCGGCCCCTCGCAGGGGTGACACCGGGACCCGCTCTTCAGTGACCGGGGCTCGCACTTGGACTCGGCCCCCTCACCCACGGGAGCCCTTCGGGGCCCCCTTCCTGTTTGTCTGCTCGGACGAGGGCCCCCGACACCCTCGCAGCCGAGCCTCCACGTGCAGAAGAGAAGCACAGGGATCCTCGACTTAGCTGATGAGCCGGCAGCAGTGGGGACGCGGCCCGAAGCCACACCTGGGCTCCTGGTGCGTCCCCGAGATGGGGATCCCGCGGCGCCCGTGAGCTCGGGGGCCCGGGTGGGCGAGCTTCCTCAGCCCCAAGCCTCCGCGGCCACGCTGTAAGGCGGGTGTGGGGGCCCCCGGCTTGCTGGGCTGTTGGGAAGGTTAGAAATGCCCCGAAAATCCCTGGGCACCGTGACCCGCCCCTCGGTGGCCTGCGTGTCGGTCGCTGGTGGGGGCGGCCCCTGGGGACGTGGGGCGCTGCCTCCGGCTTCTGGGGCGACGGGGCGGCCCCTTCCCGCGGGGGCCCAGCGCAGGTGACGGCCTGGTCACGCTAGGGGCCCAGGCACAGGGTCTGTGACGCAAGTTTGAGAGCAGATGACGTCACTTTAATGAATCGTTCTGCTTAACGGTGTTCGTCTCCCGTTCTTCCCCGTGCCGGAGACTCTTCCCACCGAGACATCGGAGCGGAGGCAAAGCAGAGGGAGCGTGGCCGAGGAAATCCCGCCTCCATCTGCTTCTGCCTTTACAAGGTCAGCGTCTGGCCTGCGTCACCCGGCTCCGAGGATGGAAGGTACCGTTTCAGCTGGATTCCGTTTGCACCTGACACAGGTGGGTACCGGGTGTAAACACAGAAACAACAAACAACCTGCCTCACCCGTGAATGAACAGGGCGGCGGGCTGCACGACGGGACGCCGCCTTCGAGCCACCTTTGCTTTAGGACAACAGCCGGTCACCGGCTGTCACATCTCTTGGGGACACCATTTCCTGCCTCCCGATTCCTAGGATTCCTAGTCTACGCGGGCGTCGGGAGGAGGCCGCCCACCGAGCGTTTCGGACGCGCTCCAGCAGAGGGAGTAACAGGCTCACGCCAGGCCAGCTCCAGCCGCTCCGGGCCTCGAGGGCCCCCTTGTGTTGCTCACAGGGTCGGGTTTGCAGCGGTTTGTGCCCGACTCTGCTCTAGTCCCTCTCCTTTCCGAACTCGAAGCGGAGGTGCTCCTGCAGCCGTGCAGCTCAGGTAAAGATCCTGCTCCGTCATTTGCTGAGGCCTTGGCAGTGGCACTGGTGATTGCGACCTCCTCCCCGAGGCTGGGGAGCCACAGAAACACAGGCTCCTGGTGCAAGAAGGGAGGCCTCAAGATGGGCCAGCAGAATCCCCACATTTCACAGAGGGGGAAACTGAGGCTCAGCCTAGACCAGAACCCGGGTCTCTGGGCACGTGAGCCCGTGCTCCCTATGCTGTGCCCACCCCCCCCTGCAAATACGCGTAAACCTTCAGAGCATTCGTGGCGAACAAATGAAGGCAAGTCGGCGAATGGAACCCCAAGTGTGTGCCTCTGGGGAGCCCGGGCCGTGGCCGCAGCCAGACGCGCCGGGTGGTCGCGGGGCCATGGTGCCCACTCCCCTCGCAGGGGGGACGGCCGTCTTGGGCGTGGGTCACAGGCCCGTTGGAGGGGGTCGGGAGGACGGCTCGGCCCAGGCCACACAGGCCCCACACGATGGTGGCTCTCGGCGTGGCCTGGAGGCTTCCCAGGTTGTGGTTCTCCCCTGCGGGTGGGGGGGTCCTGAGGTGTGGGCGGCTTGGCTTATGTGATCCAGCCCATCAGGCCCCCAGCAGGGCCCTGGGGTCCTTCAGCCGGTGGCGGGGGGGTCAGGGCCTGTGCAGCGGGGAGCCTGCCTCTCCCCTCCCTCTGCCCCCCACTCGGTCGCACCCTCTCTGGCGCTCGCTCACTCTCATTCCCAAATAAAGAAAGGGAAAAGCCCTCCGCCGAGGTCCTGACTCGTGGCAATGACGCAAAACACACGGAGCCTGGTGGGGACTGCCACCGCACGCCCCCCCCCCGTGAGGTAGAGGGTGACCATGTCTAAGAACAGAGTTTTTCTACACCCCGCCATTGCCGTGCATTGGGGGGACCCCATCTGTGCCCTCAACTTGCTGCAGGGTCTGCACCTGCGGAGGAGGGAGTGATGGCACCGACGGGATCCAGCCAACCCCTGCCAGGAGGGCACACGCTTCCGCAGATGTTCCTACAGCTGCCCTAACAAAGTGCCACAAACCGAGGAGTCTAAACCCACAGGAATGTGTTTGCCCACAGTTCTGGGCGTTAGAAACCCAAAATTAAAAAAAAAAATAAAAAAAAAAAAGAAACCCGAAATCAAGATGTTGACGGGCCGCACCCTCTGACAGTGGGTTGAGCCTTCCTGGCTGCTCCTTGGCTTGGAGCCGCACCTTCCACTCTCTGGCCCGTCATCAGCCACGTGCTGTTCTCCCTCCGGGCTCTCGGTGTCTCTTTTCTTTCTCTTCTTATAAGGACACGGTTCCTGTTGGATTAAGGGCCTCTTGACGGCGACAGCATGACCTCGTCTTAGTATCATCTGCAAAGACTGTTTCCAAATAAGATCAAATTCGCAGGTACCCCAGGCTAGGACTTCAGCCTTCCTTGCGTGGGAACACAGCTCAACCCACACACTTATTAAAAGCTTTTCAAAAACTCTGATGTTTTATGAGGTCTTGCAATTTCTTAATATGCGTAATTTACATAGAGACATACTGACATAATTATAAGGGATCTTATTTCATCCGCTCGTATAAAATTAATGTAATATTCATTATTATAAATATATGAACTCAAAACCTATTAAGTTATTAAATTATTCAAATTAATTTTTTATCATTTGTTAACTATTAGAGTAGTTAATTTAAAAAAAAATGAGTCAAACAAAACATTTCTGTGGACCTGAAAGGCGCTTGGGCCATCGCTTTCCAGCGCTTGGTCTCATGAACTGTGTGACTCCCCTGTTTTAAGCTGACCCGGAGCAGACCTTCACCGCCCCTTCACTGCCCCATCTTCCTGCCTACGTGGCTCCTCCAGGAGCAGGCCCCGTCTTTCTCACTCCCCACCCCAACAACCAGCCGCAGTTCTCCCTGCTGCTCCTCGTTCAGGGCCCCACTTAAAAGCCACTTCCCCTCTGAAAGCGGCAGACCCAGGAGGGTCCTCCCACGGGGGTTCTGCGGTCCCTGCTTCTGCATTTGTAGCACGTCTTCCAGTTTCCTGATGCGGCAGCGAGCTTACAGGGTTAGCGGCCTCTCCGCGGGGCTAGGAGCTCCCGAAGTCTGGAAGTTACCTTGGTCCTTGTGACAAAAGTTCTTGGCTTGAGCAAACTCCAGCCCCTGAACCTTCTCCTAGACCCGTCTGTGCATTTCCATATAAAATCCAGTCGTAGCAAGAACCCTGCTCGGTCATTTTAGCAGGAGGCCCCAAGTCTGATGCCTGATGACCCTCACTGTCTGATCAGGGTCCTCATCCTCCACCATCCGTCAAGCAATGTCCGAATACCGGGCCTGTCTTCAGTCAAAATCCCGTTAGGTCAGCGTAGCCAGGACTCTGCACGCCTGATGCTTCCTCTCAGTGCTTTTCCATCCCCCGACCCCATACCTCTCGCCCCTACAGATTCCCACCAGCCCATGCTGCGCTTGGAGCTGAGCCCGTCTCTGCCCCCCTGTAAAATCCCATCGCAGGCCCCGCACTGAACACCATCGCCCAGAATAAAGCCTGCCTTACCATCCTCAACAAGTGTCACTGAATATTTTTGTCATGAACAGCTGCCCGTGACGAATATCACAGACTGGGCGGCTTGCACAACAGAAATTTGTTTTCTCATGATTCTGGAGTCTGGAAGTCCGAGATCAAGATGTCGGGGGGGTTGGCTTCTTCTGAGGCTTCTCTCCTAGGCTCATAGACGGCCGTCTCCTCCCTGCGCCTTCACCTGTCCCCTGCTGTGTGTCTCTGTCCCAAATGTCCTCTGCCTGTAAGACCTGTCATGTTGGATTGGAGTCCTTCCCGATGACCTCATTACCTTAATAACGTCCTCCAGACCTGATCTCCAAACACAGCCCTATTCTAGGGTGCTGAGATTAGGACGTTCAGCATATGAATTGGGACTGGGACGCAATTCAGCCCGTGACTGTCATTTAAAGTAAATGTTTAATAACCCAAATAATATAGAAGTGTATCATCATCATTCCTGGTACTACAACCTCAGACGATACAGGTAAAGCTACGGTCCCGTTTCCCTACCTCACTCCACCTGATTGTCAATACTGCCACTGGATCTATTTCTTTTCTTTTCTTTTTTAAAATATTTTATTTATTTATTTATTTAGGAGCGACCCAGAGAGAGGCAGAGGCACAGGCAGAGGGAGAAGCAGGCTCCCTGCGGGGAGCCCGAGGTGGACTCGATCCCAGGACCCCGGGGTCACGCCTGGAACCCAAGGCAGATGCTGCATCGCTGAGCCGTCCCCCACCCCCACCCCAGGCGTCCCTCAGTTTTACTTCCTTGATGTTTCTGAGAATCCAGAGAGCACTTCCATCTCCACCAGACCAGCCTCGGTGGCTCTTTCCTGCGGCCAGGCGGCTATTCTGTGGCTGTTTCCGCCGCGGTTCCCTCTGTTCTTCTTTGCCTAAGACGCAGGCTGCTGGGTGGAGGAGCTTTGCGGGGGGGGGGGGGGGGGGCTGCGCTGGCCGGACGGCGGGGCCCTGCCCGCAGCGTTTGCCAGACTTTGGCGAAGGCGGTTGCACACGAAGGCCTTAAGCTGAAGCTCCGTGAGCTCGGGGAGGTGGGGGGGGGGTGCACACGGGCCACAGGGAGTCCGCGCCGGCTTCCCTATCTCTGTCCCCGGCCTCCGCTTGCACGCATGGGCATCCGCTCTCTCTCAAATTAATAAATTAGTTGGAAAAAAAATTAACGGAAACACATTGTGAGATAGTTCATCTATTTTCTGATTACTTTCAGGAAAGCCTCACATCGCATGCAACATCCTGCAGAAGCTCTCGACGGGCGCTGTCCCCCTCTCTACCGGGGAGGCAGCGGGCAGCAGCGCCTAGCTAGGGCTCAGTCACACTGTTCCGTTTTCCTTGTATTTATTTTTATGGAAATGATGTTAATTCCCCATTGCCGAAGCTGTAGAAATGTCCTTGTCATTAAAAATGAGTAGACTTACAGAAAAATAGTAAGTATACAGTGTAGGTAGCTCATCGAAATGGCAAAATTGTGCAACCTGGGGCCTCCAGGCTGGGGAACACCGCTCATAATAAACAGGAACTTAGGACTGGATGCCAGACCCACTGCCTGGCCAGGCCGCCCCTGCCCCCCAGGGAGAGCGGGGCCAGCTCCAGCCCCAAGAACGAGAACCGTTGGCGTCACAATACTCCAGACCCACGGGGGCCCAGGCTTTTCTTTGTGCTGCCTTGTTATCCCAAAGGCTCCATTTCAACGGGGATCTCCATCTCTCTTCCCGAAACAAAAGTCTCCTAACACTGTTCCCCTTCAAACAAAAAAAGTGCAGCCAGTTTTCCCTCCACTGCTGTGGCTGCTGCGGCAGGCGGCTCTGCTCTTCATCACTGAAGGCCTGCAGGTGTCGTCCTGAGTAGCCTGGCTCCCCGGCCTGGCCCCCAGGTGGGGCGGTGCTACCCCCAGTTCTCGTGGGCTGGTCTTCGTGGGCTGGGCTGGCACCCGAGGCCCAGGGTAGAGGAGAAGCTTGTGGGGCCGCACCTCAGGATGCGAGAGGCCCAGTGCTGGAACCATCCCTCACTTGCTCCAAGGCCTTGCTGCTCCCCTCCTCTCCCTGGGCTGGTTTTCCCATCAGTGGTAGGAGGGAAGCAGCGTCCCTCCCAGGGCTGATCGCTGTCGGCTGTGGCTTGAGGCTCAATTAATTAATCGGAGGCCCTATCTCAAGAAAACGGGTCTGCTGGGAATTGCGCTGGCCTCTCTGCTTCCCAAGAGTTTCCTTACCGACCGCAAAGCCCTACAGGGTGAGGAAGCCACTCACACTTGACCTCTCATAACTCTCCTCGCATCCCGAATCATTCCAGCAGGAGGATTTTCTGTTTTGTCCTTTTATTTTATTATTTTTGTAAGATTTTACTTATTCACGAGAGACCCAGAGGGAGAGGCAGAGACACAGGCAGAGGGAGAAGCAGGCTCCTCGCAGGGAGCCCGATGCGGGACTCGATCCCAGGACCCGGGGATCACGCCCTGGGCTGAAGGCAGACGCTAAACTGCTGATCCACTGGGCACCCCATGTCTTGTCTTTTTTTAAAGGAGAATGGTTTTGTTTTGTTTTTAACATGCCATAAAATAGATATTCAGCTTGAAGACGTTGGGACAGTATAGAAATGTTTGAAGAAGAGGCTCAAAGTCAACTGAAACATTATTTACCTACCGCTGCCCATGATATTCTCTTTTTCTGTCAAGGTTTTATTTTTGAAGTAATCCAACGTGGGGCTCAAACACACTACCCTGAGATCAAGAGTGGTGCGCTCCACGGGCCAGTCGAGCCAGGCGCCCCCAAGATATTCTTCACAAACATTTTTGTGTTCGTCCTTCTAGGCTTTCTCTAAAAATATAAAGATGCGTATCCTTATAATGAGGAGACGATCAGACTAGAAATACTGTTATAATTTTTTAAAAGGCAATATTGTGACTCTCATACAAATATAAAACAAACACTTATCAAAGATTGTATTTAACTCAATGATTAATGAAAGAACCAGAAATAAACTAAAACCAGTTCAGAGGAGAATCAGATACGTCTAGGTCTAGATCTACATATAAATTTGCTATTAGATGTAAAGTTGGTTATTATCTCTAGGGCAATAAAGTGGTGTTTGGAGTCATCTCCTAAATTGCATATTTACAGGACAAGATCAACTTGTATTTCTGTGGACAAGGACACCTTATATCACATCACTTCTCCGTGACTTAACAGGGTTGTGAAACAGTCCCCCGCAGAGTCTGGTGACCCCCACAGATAGCACCCCGCCCCGTATCACTGAACGGATGCTCTGCAATCCTTCAAAATTTTCACCCAAACATACGTTAGGGGTATAATAGCTCGTATTTGGGGGTGCTCACTACGTGCCACACACGGTTGTAGGCGCTTTATGAGTCTTATCTCATGTAACCCTCACGACAAGACCGTGAGGAGAGTCTGCGGTCGCTCCATCTGTACGGATGAGAAAACTGAGATACGGGGGGGCGAAGCAGTTCGCACAGTGTCACACCGCCGGGAAGGGGGGGCCAGAATTCACAGCCCTGTTGAGAACTAGGAGTTCGACCAAGTACATTTTGAAGATCTAATTAGCTTTATGAATCGGCTCGTGAGTCGGGCAACATCCCATCCAGCATCCAGGGGAGCCCCGAAGGGCTACAGAAAGGGAAAGTTTTTTTAAAAGATTTTATTTATTTATTTATTTATTTATTTATTTATTTATTTATTTATTCATGAGACACACACACAGAGAGAGAGAGAGAGAGAGAGACAGACACACACACAGGCAGAGGGAGAAGCAGGCTCCACGCAGGAGCCCAATGCGGGACTCGATCCCAAGACCCTGGCCTATGGTCACGGCCTGGGCTGAAGGCAGATGCTCAACCGCTGAGCCCCCCAAGGATCCCCAAGGGAAAGGTTTTTAAAGGCAAGGCTAGGAAATCATGAACAGAAGAAAAGATTATTTGGGGTGAGGCCGACTTCCTTTGGGGACAAAGGGCCTTGTTAGGTGGGTTACCTCATTTCCTCGGGAGCATGAGGGGCCACGCGTCCGACCACCTTGCTGGTGCTGACCTGAAGATTCCCGGGGACCAGTCAAAACTGTGTCTGGGGGGGGTCAGACTGCACCGGGTGGGTACTAAGCCCCAGCTGGTGACATGGCCTGGCATGACTCACTCTATTCTGGGCACGCGGCTTTGCTTTTTTTAACACCCCTAACTATTTCGACATCATCTCGCCGTTTATCTGACTTTTGATTGATGGACATTTGGGTTGTTTCCGGGGGTTTTTTGTCAATGATGAACACTTCAGTGAACATCTTTATCTCCTTCTCTACTTTTGAGAATTCCTCCAAGTGGAATAGCTGGGTTCAAGAATATGTACATTTTACATTTGATAAATGTGGCCAAATTGCCCTCCAAAAAGTGGAATCAATTTACACTCCCATTAGCAGCCAGCTTAGGAGAGCTTATTTCCCTACATCTTTGCCAACAATGAGCAAGTACATCAATCTTTTCAGTATTCACCTGTCTCATAGATGTAAGAAAAAAAAAAACGTTTCTTGGTGTTATTTTAATTTATATATTTTTTTTAAGGCAAGACTTCTTCAGGACTCTTGTAGACGGGCAGTTATCTGTGGCGGAGATCACTCTGGACCCTCTCTTTGCCCCCATCAGAGAGCCTGGAACTCAGAGCCAGGTGCCCAGTGAGGACCTGTCCGAGGCCCCTGTGGGGCAAGGGCGGACCCGGGCGCTCCTCGGGGCTTTCTGACGTCCTCAGGAGTCAGTGCAGCCTTTCTTAGGAGCCGGTGTTGTTTGCAGCTGAATACGGGTGGGGATGGGGGGGCCCCGTCAGGAGTAAGCCCCTTGGATTAATCAATCAATGGAGATGATATCGTTAGCTAGGCCATTTGAGAAAAAGAAAACTGGGGCAGCCCGGTGGTTCGGCGGTTGAGTGCCACCTTCAGCCCAGGGAGTGACCCCAGGGTCCCGGGATCGAGTCCCGCGTCAGGCTCCCGGCATGGAGCCTGCTTCTCCCTCTGCCTGTGTCTCTGCCTCTCTCTGTCTCTGTGTGTCTCTCTCATGAATAAATAAATAAAATCTTTAAAAAGAAAAAAAAAGAAAACTGGTTTCCTACCTTGTGACCAATGAAACACTGAACTGTCCCGGATCCTGGGATGGAGCCCCCCCTCGGGCTCCTCTGCTCAGCGGGGAGCCTGCTTCTCGCTCCCCCTCTGCGCTCCCTGTGCTCATGTTTCTCTGTCAATAATAATAAATAAATAAATAATAATAAATAAATAATAATGGTAAAACCAATAAATAAGCAGACTATAAGTAAAATAGCTCTATGATTGATTCCTTTTTTAGTTCTATGGTTTATAAAACAAATCATAGAGAAAGTTTGACAGACTTGACCGCTAAATGCTTTAAAACATCTATGCGGCAAAACCAACAACAAACCACCGCAAATGAGTTTGAAAGAGAAAAGGGGACGGGGTGGCTTGGGGGGCTCAGCGGTTGGGCGGCCCTGGGCCCCGGGATTGAGTCCCACACGGGGGTCCATGCTCAGCGGGGCGTCTGCTTACCCTCCCTCCGCCCCGCTCTGCTGTCTTTCACTTACTTACTCTCTCTCAAATAAATGAATAAATAAATAAACAAAAGGAGAATTTACCCAGGGTCCCACTTTCTTAGACGATCCACAGAGCCCCGTCGGACACCCCCGGGAGCTCACCAGCCGCCGGGCCCGTTCGAAGGCTGAAGGAGGTGACGCGAAGGCGGCGCAGAGGCGTTGTCCTCAGGGGCCTGGTCGTCGGGCTGTCGTGGTCCTTCTGGCTTCCAGCCACGCGGCCAAAGCCTGTGGAACCGCGTCCGAGGCAAGCCTGGCGCTCGCAGGTCGCTTGGCAGGACGTGGCCCTCGG